TGGACGTATAATGGTGCGATTGGATTAGGTGGCATAAAAATAAAAAAAGGAGGATCAAGAATATTTTTTATAATTTTTTAGAAATTTTTCAAAAAATGTTGACTCAAAAATATAAATAAAATGATTTTTAAATTAAATAAAATTTTTATTATTTTTATTCACGGCCCGGTTTTTCTTTCTTTTTCTTTTCATTATTTTTCTTCTTTTTTGCTTTCCGGTTCTTTTTGTCTTTATTTGTCTCTTGTTGTTTTTGAGTGATCTTTTGTTGATAATCTCGTCCTTCAATTTCTGCTTTTTGCAAAATTAATCCAACTTGTATAAAAATAATTATTAGATAACTCATTCAAAAATTATTTACGGCATGATGAGGGTTTTGAAGCGAAAAATGAAGGGCAATTTTGAAAAAGTCCAGAAGAAACAGCAGGTAATGGAGTAATTGCGAAATTTAACTCAGAATTTGCCCGAATAACATCTTCACCATTAGCTCCGTGACTGCTAGGCATTTCATTATTATTAAATTGCTGAAAAAGATATCTTTAATTAAAAATACTTTAACATCAAATATCAAAGACAAATCCTGAAAAATTTTTTAAAGGGGAGAGGTGATACTGGATACGTGTCCAGTTTTTTCTGCTATATCACACAATACATATACGTCCAATCACACTTTTATACGTCCAATCACATATGCGTCAGTCAAAAAAATCGGGGATATACTTCAATCGGCGGCCGGTTCAAAAGTCATTCAAAATGTATACCATTCGATTCGATCAGTGGACTGGGTCGAATGGTACCACTCCCAGAGTGCGGAAACGCCTGTGGATCAAGATATAGTCCCCGAAAATCGAAAACCATAGGGGGGAGTTAGCTCAATTTTTTGAATGATATCTCATTCGAAAGAGCCTCTCGTCTGATTCCTCTCGTCTGAGAGAGAAAGAGCCTCTCGTCTGAGTCTTCTATCCCATTTGTTATCACAGGCTAAAACTTAATTTTTTCCTAGTTAGGGCAGACGAAGCTCGTTCCAAAAGCCATCTCCGGATACACTAGTTTTAAATTTTGTACCTTAATGGCTAAATCATTTGCGCTAGTTGATTCCTCCATTACTTGAGCGCCTTGATCACATTCACGAGTCGATTCATTGTCTAAACTATATGGTTCCACAAGATCCACTAAAGCCCAAAGAGTATGAGAAAATTGTCGGCAAGATGTTGAAAGAGCCTAAAGATTATATTTAAGAATTATTCAATAAATTTACATGAGATAACGAAATATTGCTTTTATCGGCTTGTAAACTAGTAAATTTGTCCAACAATTCAATTTCTTCATCATGTATATTAATTAAACCATCAAGGGAGGATTGTATTCTACGTTCATCTTGTAGTTCAGCAAGATCAGATATATAGGAATAAAATTGTCTAAAGCTGTTTGTAAAGCGTTCTACGCCTTCTTGGCTCTCAGTTTTAGGAGAATGTACGCATTGTAGGAGACGATCAGCATCTTCAACCAATTGCTTGGCAGATGCACGTAGATTTGTGGATGTTGGTGAAGATGGTAAAACTAGCGATGTTGTTGTTGTTAAATTATGTAACTTTTCAATCTATGAAAGAAAATTTAGACAATTTTTTGAAAGTTTACTAACAGGCTGTTCAACGTGTATATTTGTTGAAGGTTCGTTAAATTCACAAGTAATTTTTGGAGAGTTTGTTAAAGGTTCATTAAATTCGGAAGTAATTTTTGGAGAGTTTGTTGAAGGTTCATTAAATTCTGAAGTATTTTTTGGAGAGTTTGTTGAAGGTTCATTAAATTCAGAAGTAATTTTTGGAGAGTTTGTTAAAGGTTCATTAAATTCGGAAGTAATTTTTGGAGAGTTTGTTAAAGGTTCATTAAATTCGGAAGTAATTTTTGGAGAGTTTGTTGAAGGTTCATTAAATTCAGAAGTAATTTTTGGAGAGTTTGTTAAAGGTTCATTAAATTCGGAAGTAATTTTTGGAGAGTTTGTTAAAGGTTCATTAAATTCTGAAGTATTTTTTGGAGAGTTTGTTGAAGGTTCATTAAATTCAGAAGTAATTTTTGGAGAGTTTGTTAAAGGTTCATTAAATTCGGAAGTAATTTTTGGAGAGTTTGTTGAAGGTTCATTAAATTCAGAAGTAATTTTTGGAGAGTTTGTTAAAGGTTCATTAAATTCGGAAGTAATTTTTGGAGAGTTTGTTGAAGGTTCATTAAATTCAGAAGTAATTTTTGGAGAGTTTGTTAAAGGTTCATTAAATTCGGAAGTAATTTTTGGAGAGTTTGTTAAAGGTTCATTAAATTCTGAAGTATTTTTTGGAGAGTTTGTTGAAGGTTCATTAAATTCAGAAGTAATTTTTGGAGAGTTTGTTAAAGGTTCATTAAATTCGGAAGTAATTTTTGGAGAGTTTGTTGAAGGTTCATTAAATTCTGAAGTATTTTTTGGAGAGTTTGTTGAAGGTTCATTAAATTCAGAAGTAATTTTTGGAGAGTTTGTTAAAGGTTCATTAAATTCGGAAGTAATTTTTGGAGAGTTTGTTGAAGGTTCATTAAATTCATTGGAAATTTTTGTAGAACTTGTTGGAGGTTCATTAAATTCTGAAGTAATTTTTGGAGATTTTGTTGAAGGTTCATTTAATTCTGAGACAATTTTTAACTGCTTCTCAACATTAGATAATTTATACTAAAAAAGAGATTATTTTTTAAACAAAAATTAATAATAAATACCTTAATGCATTTATTATTATGCGGAGTCGAATCAAGTATTTTGTTGTTTTTAACAACTAATTTTCCATTACATTGAATAGCTTTTTTTAGGATATTTTCACATCGGTAAATATTTTTTTCTTTCCAATAAAATTTGAAACCCTCGAAAAATCTCATTTTGTTTTTTGTCGCTTTTTTTGAATAAAAATTCCTCTTTGAATTAACAGATTCACTATAAATAGAAAAAATTTAAAAGAAATGTACCATTTCCGTTCTGCCACCTCCCCTATATTAATGCTCAAAATGTTAGGGTAATAAAAGGTGCTGAGTTGAACAGTACAACTCTTTTTCCCGTAGATGCCTGTGGACTGAGATATAGAGCTCGAAATGGTCAAAAACCACATGAAAAAACAAAAACGAACGAAACAAAAAACCATTTTTGGAGACAAAAAATGAGGAATACGCAGTTAAAAACTCATTCGAAAGAGCTCATTGAGCTAAATCGAAAGACATCCAAAATCACCGAAATATTATTTGAATGAATCGAGATAAAGGCCCCCGAAAATTCAAAGACCATAGGGGCGATTTTAAAGTTCGTACAAGCAAAAGTCATTTGATACTCAATAGCTCATATTTAATTTTTAGCCCCAAATAAGAGCTCACTCCCTATAAAGTTTGCCATTTCGAGCTCATATCTCGGTTCACAGGAATCTACAAAAAAAGAGTGGTGCCTTTCATTCAGCACCTTTTATTTTCCTATATATCATTTTGAGCATTAATTTAGGGTGTTGTAGACGAACGGAAATGTACCAAAAAGTTTAGAAATTTGACTGTGTAGACTGATGAGCAATGCTAGGGATGAGTTCGGGAGCCTGCTGAGGGGCCCGGAAAAAATCTCAAAAATGATCGCAAGTAAATGTTCCCAAAAATAAATTCGGTCATCAATAGTGACCAAGAATTAAAAATAAATAATTTATTCTTTCTGGTTTAATTGTATTAATTGGAAGTTTAATTGTGAAGTCAAAAATCCCCCTTGCCAGTTTTCTGGCCAAAAATTTTTAATTTAAAAAACAAAAACGATATACCCATCCATTCCACAAAAAAGACGAGTTTCAGTTATTCTATGTAAAGGTACACCCATAGCAATTTGAAGTTGTATGGCTGGGATATTCATATTTGCATTCATTTCAGTACATTTTTGATCCAATTGTAAATGTGGATTTAATTTCAAAAAATAGTATTTTTGTTCTGATGGTAGATACATATACTTAAAAGAATTGAAAATAATTAAAAAATTAAATAATTTTCGACCAGGTACCCTAATTTTGGATTAATATTTCCAATAGGGTTGATAGTTTCCTTCGAATTCTTTGATTAACTCAAATCGAAAATCTACGGGTCTCGAGTCTGGTTGAAACTACTGACCATATTCCCAACATTTTTGAGAAATCGGGAATTATTTTTATAACAGATACTTCTGAAAAGTACCAAAAAATACAAAGCAAACTTAAAAAAAAGAAAGGCATACTGTATATGCTCAAATAATTACGTTCTCTCAATTGCCCTTCACAAGTAGTTACTCCATCTAGTAAAAACTTAAAGCAATAATTACACAGAGTAAGAATTCGACATATACGGTAATCACAAAAGGCGAAAAAAATAAATAAAATACCTCAACCGTCCCAGCACTAACAAAACCAATTTTTTTAGCCAATGTAACTGCATTCATTTGCATTTGACATTTAATTTCTGGAGGCACAATACATTCTGGAGTTCCTTTAATTGTTTTTTGAAAGCTCCCTTCTATTGAACAATCACGAGTAAATATTGGAATTACTTTGCCGTAATGATCGCCAATTAATTGAACTTCTATATTTCTAGCATCAACCATAAATCTGGAGGGAGAAAAAGTTTATTTTTTTCGGAAAGAGAGAAAAATTAGGGGAGAGATTTTATGTATTTAGAGATAGTATGTATTTATTTTAATATAAATCAGATTATTCCGGAAAAATCAGATTATTCCGGATTTATATTATAGTTCCGGGGAATAAATTATTAATAAACATCCGGAAAATATAAGAGTACATATTCATAATTAACCGGGAAAACTTTTTCCAGAAAATAAAATTTTTAAGAAAATAATATGTATCTAGACTTCTTTTACTTTCGTGAGGGCATACTGTAAAGGAAAGACGAATAAGCTCGTGCCACTCCTAAAGAAAAATGCAAGGAAAGGGATTCAGTTTGAGGAATGGTGGGGGAGCCAAACGCTTTACACAACATAAAACTTACTTCATCAAGAAAATAGGAGCTTCTGGGACCTCCTCCTTTACACTTGTAAAATTTAAACGAAATTCTTCATCACTAATACATTTTCTAGTTCCTTTTCCACTGCATCCTTTTGATGATTTTATCATTACTGGATAAGTAATATTTTTTTCTTTCATTGATAAAAGGCCTTCTTCTGCTGTCGAGATACAAGCTTTTAAATACAATTCTTTGGAAATTTCTGATTCGTTTCCTCCCCCTCCTTTTTCTTTTCCTTCTCCTGTTGATTCAATTATTAATCCACTACCAGACCAAGCAATTGTTGGGATTTTAACTGTCTAAAATTTTAAAAGAAAATTTTTAAGACACCAAAATCTTTTAAGGATATTTTTTAAAGCGTCATTTACATAAATCTTTCAGTTCAATAAAGATCCTTTATTTAAAAAAGTCCGCAAAGATGTGTCCGCAAGTCGAAATCAGAAATCCTTTCAAGTGATTTAATTTTTTCGGACATTTCTTTTTTTGCGTATTTTAACTTTTTCGAAACATTCGCAAAATTTCTTCGCACTAAAATTATCCGCAAATAATTTTTTCCACAAATAAATTAAAAAATCAAATAACCTGAGCTATAATTGTGCTAGCAATTTTATCACTCAAAGCAAACAATGCTTTACTTGGAGGGCCAATAAAAACAATATTTCTTTTGTTCAATTCTTCAGGCAATTGAGGATTTTCACTAGCAAAACTGCAAACTGTACACACTGCATCAACATTATTTCGTGTTGCTTGCTCAACAATTTCATCGACATTTGTATAATTATGTGTATTTGCACCGGCTGGAGAGAAAATGATATGATCGGCCATCTTTAGATATTCTGTGAAGAAAAGAATTTTTGGAGTAAATTTGGAAGGAAAATTAGTCAGATTATATTATATATTTCTGGAATTTAATAGCGGCTGTTTGATCGGACTTATAAAAGTTTATTTGGATGAATAAGCTGCTGATTTAATGTTGAATGCCATTAGGCACAAACTAGACAAGAGTACCGTCCCTATACCCTCCCTATACAACTATAAAAAACATATTAACCCTCCAAACACACCTGACGGAATTTCCTGGTCTGTAGTTAAACAGACAAAATTAATGAGTTTTTCATTCCCAAAATGTTGCATCAAAAATTTTTTTAGAGAATCCATAAATTTAACTGCAGCTATACCATTTGCTGCCACCAAAATCTAAAATTGAAAAAATTGTCTAAAAAAATCCGCAAGTTTTGTCCGCAAGTTATCGTTGTGTAAAGACGCCGAACAAAACAATACTATGGAAAACAACAGAAACCTAACTGTGATCTTTCTTAAATGAGTTTGGAGAGAGAAAATAAACTAAAATTGCGGGCTTTTAGGGAAATAATTGAGAAACGAAGTAGTTCATCTGAGCCACGATACAACACTTCCCCATCGCTATGAGGCGCTCATAGCTAGCGTCAAATGGTGTTTTCGGTACTTTCGGTAGTACCGAGGTAGTGCCGAACACTAGTCATAACTAACTGCTATCCCCCCCCCCTAAATATTAATTTAAACCTTTCTAATGCTTCTAGCCTTTGTAGTGTCTTCACAAAAATGATTAACAAAATCGTCAATGTCCTTGAAAACTGGATCTTTTTGATCAACCTTTAAAAAGGATTTTAGAAAAAAATGAAATTTTTTTACCAATTTACTACAAGCAGCCGAATTTTCATAAAATTTTCGTCGTAATTTCATTTTTAGTTAAAAATATCTAAAAACAAGAATCATATAATTAGTAAATCGGCTGAAATTATGTTTGTATGTCACGGGGTTTGTCACAATGCTTTAAGAGTAAAATGATAGGGGAGTGAGGAAATGAGGTCGTAAAGCTTTGCAACCTTAATACTGATAGAAGAATTAAAGCCGGGGACTATCGCTCATTCATTTGCTTTTGACTTTGTTGCATATTGATAAAGTTATTAACTCTGGGACCGTATTGGGGCTAACTAACCCACAGCTGCGAGAGGCTAATGCAGAACCCTTAATATGAGGTAAGGGTAACCCTGAGTTGTTAGTTAATTACTCAGTAATAGAACACGCCAGCTGCGGGTCAAGTTCCTGCCCTCATTGAAAAATGGGGGTTTTGGGTAATTTAACACGCAGCTACAGGTAAAATTAGTGGCAATCCAGGAGAATTGGGGTTTCTTCGAAAAAAATTTTTAAAATTCAGAAAATGAATTTTTCTAGGATAAAAAAATATGCTGATTACGAATATGAGCTCGGATTTTGATAAAGTCAAATCACGAACCCGAAGTCGGACATTCGACATTTTGGGAAAAATTTCACAGAGCGCAAATTGGCCAAATAATAGCTCATTCGAAAAAGCTAGACGAGCAGAGTCGAATGACATCAAAATCACCGTGATTGAAAAAGATATGGCGAAGTTATGACACAAAAAACAAACAACGTAAACCTAAGTTTTTTTGTTGTAACTTTGTCTGTTCTTGTTCATTTACGGTGATTTTGGTGTCATTCGACTCAGCTTGACGAGCTCTTTCGAATGAGCTATTATTTGCATATTCGAATTTTTCACCCCAGAATCAGCTTGGTCCCCCCTATGGTTTTTTGATTTTGTAGGACCTATATTCGGGTCCTGGTACGACTTTTTCAAAATCCGAGCTCATATTCGTAATCAGCACATTTTTTTACCCTAGAAAAATCCATTTTATGAATTTTAAAAATTTTTTTCGAAGAAACCCCAATTCTCCTGGATTGCCAAATTAGTAGCTTCATCAGATGAGGGTTAAATCCGTACCCGCAGCTATTTAAAAAAACTTAAAAATCCAAATTTAACCTAAAAATTACAAATTAAACATTATTATATGCAGTAACGGAAAAGAGAATCCAAACTTCCTTAAATAACACTTTAATAGGATATTCTGTCATTTTTAATCAAAATTTAAACACAACGCCAAAACAACAACAAAAACTCGCAAAATTTAAAGCTGCGGACAAACATACAGACAGGAATTAATATCGTTCTATCTTTCTAGTATAATATTTAATGTTTTAGAAAATTTGTGCTGTTGTTGTGAATAATCTCACGTATTTGCTGATAGACTATTGCCGCTCTCGTGTCCATTGCTAAACATGATCTCTTACCTAGCAAATTTCTGTATATTCATTAATTTTCAGACCCGACTATCATCTTGTTAGTTTTGCAGGCGCGAGTCTTTCGATTCTTGTTGTTTATAGATTTAGTGACAGAGGGGAAAATGTAACATAAATTAGAATTGTTTACGAACAAAAAGAAAAACAAAAATTAGAAAATAACATCAAATGTACGAGGAAAAGTAGTAAGAAGGCAGTCGTTATGAGCTTTGTCACACAATAAAAATAAACTTTCAAAAAATTGAGTAAAGTGACCTAAAAAATTTATGTACTAAAAATCAGTATAAAAAAGTTCTCTAAATGTTTTGAAACTTGTTTACGTATAATTTTCCAAAAAGTTGTTTTATGCTCCTCCTTGTTTTTTCTCTTTCTTAAAAATTAAATGGCTGTATGTGATTAATAGGCATATGACTTTAAATAGATGAATGTGATCATTTGTTTATTGTTTTCAAGTAAAATTTTTGTTAAAGTTACAGAAAAACAACTTTTTCTTTTTTATTTTAATAGGATTTAGAGGGATATCAGAGAATTAATTGGGATTTGAAGTAAATCAGAGAAATAAGAGGACTTGGAGGGATTAAAAGTACCAACATCAATTATTAATAAATATTTGATTTTTAAAATTAATTTAAATATTTTTATCATCTACGATTACAAATTACGGCATTTTTTCAGTTACGAATTACGATTACGAAAAGAAATTTTCGATACGACGCAACTCTAAATAACATCTCATTGTCGAACAATGTAACTTCACTCCAGATTAAGATCAAATGTATTTAACAGGGATCGCGCCCATAGAAAAACAAATTCCCGATTTTCGGAAGTCGTAAATTAAATTTACGTGAGATTCTTAATTGATTAATGGATAACGATATAGGTTTATCAGAGATAAAGGGATTTGAGGTAATAAGATGGATCGAGGGAATAGGAAGTTTTCAGGACCTCAAGGTTCTGGATCTCATATTTAAAAATTATTTTATCAAAAATAAAATTTTATATACACAATTTAAGTTAAACACAACACAATTAACTTTCAAAATTAATTAAGTCTGTTTTTAATGTTTAAAATATTATTGAATCTTTAAAGGCCTTTTCAGTATTGCACAAATCCTTGTCAGTACAACTTAAACAACTTTTGTATTCTGAAGGGCACAAGCCACAATTTTGCTCCACTTAAATTTTAAAAATTAAATTCCAGAGAAAATTCCAAATACTTTCTAAATACCCTCAAGCAGATTTTATTATTATTATTGTCTACATTAAATGCTCAAATAATTATCCTAGCTAATTATTGTTTAAACACCTCGCTGACAGGAGAAATTAATGAAAAGGAGTTAATTATTCGGAAATATTTTAGGAAGGCTAATAATAACTTTTTGACGAATAATGATTTTTTAATCATCTAACTGGAGTGGGTAATTATTAAGTTGGGCAAGGAGAGGTTATAGCTTATTTATTGAGAGGAAAGTAGTGAATACATTAGATTCCCTATTGAGAAGAATGATGGGGTCAGGTAAATTCTTTTTTTTCCACATGGGTATTGGGGGTGGCAATGTTGAAATAAAATCCAAACTGTTTGAGGATAACAACACCAAATATTTAAATTATTACCTCTCCCAAATTTATCCTTAGCAATATAGCAATGAGTATGCATAGGGTGACAATTTTTCACCTTTTTCTTATAAAGCTTAGATTTAGCAATGTTGTAGTGACACTTTATAGTTGGAAGTATATTTTTGTCGTTGCAATAAGGGGTATTACATTTAGCACATTTTTCCAAGTGAGAAGGGCAGCTACCACAGCCTTGCACAAAGCCTAGAAATAAATGTATCAAAGTGTCTAATATGGTCGAAATACTGTATAAAATATATCTAAATTTAGATTACGTTAATTTAAATCTAAATGGCTATTGATAACACAAAAGTTTCAAATCGCTTCGGCAATCAGTGATACAAAGAAACCCTTCTTAGTTGGTGCGAACTTCTTAGTTGGTGCGAACATCTATTTAATTAGTCGATGTGCTTCTATAATTCTTGATTATTCTTATTCCCTATTGAGTTCTCTATTCTTAAAGCTTTATTTGTCACATATCTCTAAATTTGCATAAGTTATTGTCATAAAATATGTGCCCATTTCATTTTGACCGCCCTTTACACAAAATTTTCGGTTATCATACATTAAGGCCTGACTATTTGTGCCTTTTCATTCAAATATAAGTATAAAAATTTACTCATTTCAATCTGATCAACTCCAATAAAACACGATTCTCCACAAACCCTCCTCCCTTTGTTTGGTGTCCACTTTTTAACATCCTTCACCCAACAAAACATTTGTTTCTCAAAATATGTATCAGCGTTACAAGCCGGACTGTTGCTACATTCTGCACATTGCATTTTGGACATATCAAGATTTTTAAATTTATTTAGGAAGGAGTTATCTTTAGTTGTGATGTATGGTGACAAATCGAGAATATCAGAGGGGCATTTTCCACAATCATAGTGATACTGTTGAATTTTCTGATCTTAAATATATTTTTGAAAATTTTTATTATAAGTTTTCATCCTTTAATCGAGAATGAAACTCGATTTAAGTAAAAACGCAAAGGCTGGCTCAAGAAAGATGAATCTGGGTCTTGTGGGAGACAGAAGAGAGCCTACATCCCTACACATAAATAAAATGATTTCTTCGGACTCGTAAGATTTGATTGGATTAATAATCTTACTTTAACATATTTTTAATCCGATACTAGAATATCAGCCTTAATCTAAGAAATAAACCACCTCCTATTTTCTCCTCAATTTTAGCAATATAACACATAGATTCACTACATTCTTTATAACTAGCCATAAATCCAAAGCAATAAAATGGCAGTTCAGTTTCATTATTGCAACGATGAGTATTACAATCCTTACAAGTGAAAAACGGACATATTCCACAACCTTTTTTGACTTTAAGTTTAAAAAAAGGATTTTCATTCAAGATTTATTCAAAACCCTCATTTGTTGGAGTTCTCCATAGATAACAAGGTGCATCGAAAGGTGTTTTACATATCCCATTATTGTCGGTCAAACAATGTTTGTATACTTTACTTTCCTCGTTGCAGTAAACTTCTTTGCATTCAAGACATTCGGTGGTGTCGTTTGTTGGACAAGATCCACATCCTTGTGTTACTGTAAGAATAAGAAGTAGAGATCGTGTGAGGGTGGGTTTTGTGTATCACAAGAGTTTTATAATATAAATCCCTATTCAGATACTTATCGGTATTAAACCAAAATATTCTGATAACTAGTCGTATATTTCATTTTTTGCATATCCGAATGCCAACCGTGGTCTTTGATCTTCAGAAAAACTATTGGTGATTCGGATTCAAAAAGAAGAATGAGGGGTTTATTGGTTTGGGTCCAGATATCCTAAGCTTTTCTCTGTATAATTGATAACAATACCAGGAGCTATTTCTGTTAATATTTAAACTTAGTTACAATGTTAAACAGCTACCATATCCTGTTGAATTATCTCTTGATACAAAACATTGCTCTTCGCATACACTCGCCCCCTTTACAAACATCGAGTCGTTAAGTGACCTCTCCAAACAAAACAATTTCTCTTCTATAAACTTTTCCGTGTTGCACAACATCCCATTATTACAGTCTGCACATTGGAAGTCGTCATTATAATTTTCTTTAACTCTTTGGCCAAGTAGTTCGTCTAATTTGCTAGTTAACGATGAACGTGTTTTTCGACATTTTCCACAATTTTGATAATATTCATTTTTATTATCTAAGAATGATAAGTTTATTGTGTTATTTCGAGTATTAAAGAGATGAATTTTTGTTTCTATAGTTATTTCTGAGGAATTAATGTTGGATATAATATAAAATGTATAGCTTTAGGCTTCTGTCTACTTCTTGACATTGATGAGTAATTTCAAATGAGATATTAGCGTGTTAACCTTCCTTCAATTCCTCTTTTTACTTGTCTGATAAGAACAAAAATTAGAGATTTTAATTTGCAAAAATCTTAATTCCATTTTCTGGGATTTAATAATGTTTCTCCTCAATTTCGCATTTTAAGTACTACATAAGATAACCTAAATTCATATCACTCTAAATTCTTATCAATTTTATTGGTTATATCTTCAGCTTGTTTTAATACCCTCGATTTACTCCCATTTATTACCTTTTTTATTTGTCAACTTCAAAATGGAGCAGTCAGGATCGTTACATTCACTAACACCATTAGTTCCTTGATTACTATAACAATAGTAAGGAGTATCCTTCCAATCATTACAAAGATGAGTTAAGCATTTCCTGCAAGCTTTAGTTTCACAGTCTCCACAGCCTTTCTTTGCTTTAATTTCTCAGAATTATTTTTTAATTGAGAAGATTCTTTACTTTCGTTTATCGAAATTCTTTCCATATGACAGGGGATATCAAAATCTGTTTTACAAATTTCTTTCTCATTTATCCAGCAATGTTTGGGAACAAGTCGAACCTCGTTGCAATACTTTTCTGTGCAACTTTTACAGTCAAGTTTAGGGTCATCACATTCACCACAGCCAAAATTTACTTAAAAGTATTTAAGGGTTTAATTGAACTTAACCATGTTAGCGGAAAGGGATGAAAACTATTCAAAAAATAGAGGCTTCCAGGACTTATCATTCTCTAATTCAAATTAGTATTTCTGGAACAGTTATCGGGTATTGACTGGTCCGACTCTTAGGTCAGATGACTTTTTCAGGGATCGGAGAGGAGAGTCTGCCTTTGAGTGACCCAAGGCTTTACTTAATGCTCTCCTCATGTCAATTTATTAAAAACATTTTTTAATCTTACATTGCCCATTAATTGAATCACGAGATACAAAGCATTTACTCATGCAAACTCTCGCTCCTTTAACTATTCCAACTTTGTTAGTATTTGAATTCTCCCAACAAAACAATTGTTCTTCAAAGAATTTTGGTGTATTACAAAACGGATTGTTTTTGCATTCTGCGCATTGAATATCGTTGGAGGGAAGGTCAGCGGAAGATTGTGAACATTTTCCGCAGTTATATACAAAGGAACTTTGGTTGTTATCTGATAATAGATGTTTGATCTATCTAAACACTAACTATGCCATCTACCTTTTGAAATAAAACAATCAGGTTCAGGACATTCCTTGTCTCCATCAACGCCTTTACAAAAATAAGGAAATTCTTTCTCAGAATTACATCGATTATCTTCACATTGTTTACATGTTGCAGGATTTGAACATTTCCCACAGCCTTTGTTAACTTGAAAAAGATTTTTTAATCGAAATACAATTTAATGACTTTGATTAGACAAAGTTCTCTCAGTAAAGCAAGGAGTATCATATTCAGTTTTGCATATTTCCTTATCATTTATCCAACACTGTTTGGGAACAAGTCGTTCCTCATTACAGTACCTTTCATTGCAGTTTACACAGTCTGTACTTTTAGAATTTGTTGGGCAACTCCCACAGCCTTGAGTTACTGAAAATTTATGATATTTAAATTACCATCTATAGATAATAGAGATCGGAGAAAGGCAAGTCTCAACAAAAATTTTCGTTAGAGGATTTCGATAAATTTCTAGATGGACTCGTTCGATCACTTTCTGTGAGTTTTTGGGATGTTCGGGCCGTAATTGAATGTTGTATCGTGGTTCGGGGTCGAACCCCAGTCAGATCTTTTCTTAAGACTATTTATTTTCGAACCTTTCCCACTTTCATCTCTTGCAACAAAACATTGACTTTCACAATTTCTCAAATCACTAATTGGGGTAGTCATTTCCACAGTCTTATTCCAACAAAACAAAGCATTATTGTAAAACTCTACAGTATTACAAAAAGGACTATTGTTGCATTTTGCACATTTAAATGGATGGTTTTGGATATCTGGACAATTTCCACAATTCCAATCATAGTTGCCTATATTAGAGTTATAAAGGTTTATTTATGAGAAGTAATGCCCTCGTTCAAAGAATAGTGATCTAAGGTTTCGGTTCATGAAGGCCCGATATTTTAAGTTACTAGAAGAATTGACGGCTGATTGTTAAAAATTTATCATGGATTATTGTTATTATATCTTTTATTACATCACAAATCGCAGGCGGTGGGTTTGTTCAATTAAATAGGTGATGGAATAAAACCATCAGGAAAGACCCCAAACTAGACACTGATCAGTCACTTTCAATCCAATAATGGATATATTTAGAGTTTGACATTTGAGGTTTTTATCGTATACCTTTATCCATTTCCTCTAAATTAGCAATATAACAGCTCGAATTCTTGCAAATATTATCAAAACCACTTTTCCTCCTACAAAAATAATCATAATCTTTTTCATTATTGCAGCGATGTGTGTAGCATTTGTTGCACGTCGAAGAAGCACAATGTCCACAACCTTTTTTTACTTTAAATAATTTTATTTATTAAAGTAAAATAATTAATTAAAGACGTTTATTATCTTCTGTTCTCTCAGTAAAACAATTGCTAGTATATGGAGTTTTACATATCTCTTTATCGTTTAACCAGCAATGCATATCAACATGTTTTTCTTCGTTACAATATTTTTCGTTACAAGCAAAACAATCAGTTGAACTGACATTTTTTGGGCATATCCCACAACCTTGTTCTACTAAAAAATTTTCCGTAATTAAATGAATTACAAAGGTATTAACAAGAAGGATTATTTATTTAACAAGAGGGATTATTCAGTAAGATTATTAGTAAGCTAAACAGAGTCATACGTGAATGCTAAACAATTTCTGGGTGTAATCATTAAATCCCTACACCAATACACACTTTAATCATTCCAAATCCCTTATATAACCCATAATAACAATTTCCCACAAATTCCTTTTAATGCCTAAATTATTATATAAAGCATTTAATCAAGGGGTAGCTAGCGTGCAGTAGTCATTAGTTAGTCATTCAGTGTCAATAGTCATTCAAAAGTGATTCCAGCTAGATTTCATGATGCAAGAACTGCATTAAATTGGGCCTGAGCAAATGCCAAATATCATAACCGAATCTCTCGTTAAATGAAAATCGATGTTTGTTATCCTCAAGAGATAGGATTTGCTATTTAAAATTAAAAACAAACATTTTCCATCAGAATATCTATGAACATAACATTTCTGGTTGCATTGTTTAACCCCCTTTTTTAACTCAATCTCTCCTTTTCCTTTATTAAAACAAAACAAAGTTTTGTCAAATAAATCTTTTGTGTTGCAAAGAGGCCTGTTACAGTTAGCATAGGGCGTATCATTAAATTCTTTCGGTAAATCTCCACAGCCTTGTTCAACTATAAATTAGAATTATGTATAGTTTTTTAATATATGTGTTGGTACTTTATTGATATAATATACCATCCGCCCCCTATTTTCAGTCTCAAAGTTTTTCTTAAATAGGGGGTGGAATAAGGTACCTATAATAAGGGTGGTATAAAGTACCATAAGGTAACTATGTGTTGGATATCGACTTCCAATGTGCCCGATAATAATAGAATAAATTAAGTAGTGATGGAAATAAGCTTTATCACTACCTAAGTGACAAATCTATTTATCTACCTTTATTATCAAAGTCTGAAGCATAATAACAATTTAGACCATATTTACTCTTATCACATTGCTCAACAAAATTTTCTTTCACCCAGCAATAATTAACTTGTTTAAAAAACTTTTCTGTATTGCAAAGGGTTGTGTTACATATTCGGCATAGAATGCTAGTTGAATTACATTTCCCACATCCTTGTTTAGTGTATTTTTTAAAGGAGATTTGTTCTGTTTCTTCTGAAATGTCAGAATATTTCAAACAATTTTTTACTTAGAACGGGGGATGTTCGTACCTTCTAAGGGATCTCTAGAGATAAAGCAAGTTTTTTCAACACAAGGTCTAGATCCCTCCATCTCTTTACCATTTTCCTCTCTTTCATAACAAAATACATTTTCTTCTAGTTTATTTCTAGAATTGCATTTGAAGCCGCTACAATCTATACAAGATTTGTCTATTTTATTTCCATCACAAGTACCGCAACCAGCATTTAAATCTAAAACCTTGTCTCCTTTTTTAGCCCTATTATTACAAACCTTTATCAATATAACATTCAGGATTTGAGCATTCTAACAAGCTCGTACCATCAGAATTTAAGCAATAGTAGGGGAAATTTTTCCCATCATTACAACGATGTCCTGTACATGTCTTGCATGCTGAGGAAGTACAATTTCCACAACCCTTGTTTACTTAAAAAACAAAATTTGATATAATTTTTATGTTTTACATTCATTTGTCTTCGTTCTCTCAGTAAAACAATTTTCATAATATCCTGTTGAACAAGTCGAACCATTATTAGTCCAACAATGTTTAACCCCAATTTCTTTAGTATTACAAAAATTTATTTTACAGCTTTTGCAATCAACATCTGTGCAATTCCCACAACCTTGTTCCACTACAAAAACGGAACTATTCCTTGCTTAAACATGAAAAAACGAACAATTGCCATCCAAATATCGTCTAGCAAAACATTCATTATCACATTGGATAACGGAACTTTTTGTTTCATTAAATTCATCCTTTCCTTTATTCAAACAAAATAGGCTCTCATCTAACAATTTTTTAGTATTGCAGAGGTGTTTATTTTGGCACTTTGCTGCCCGTACATTTGATTCATTCCATGTTTTATTACCACATCCTTGTTCAACTAAAACATAAACTAAACTCCTTTCATAAAAATAAATATCTAACGCATAAGTCTACTGTAGACCCATAACTAGTCTTATGACAATCTAATATAGACATAGATAGAGATCGAGATTTTAAAAAGCCTGGACCTGTTCCTGAACTCTGGAGTTGATTTCTTGACCTGGACTGGATCCTGGGCCTGTAGTCCAGGAAAAACCCAGGAAGGTCAAAAAATGCCTGGACACTAGGTACAGGAAAAACCCTTGCCTTGTCTAGGTCCAGCTCGATCTCTAGACATAGACACATGACTGAAAGTTAAAAACTTCTTTCTGATTTAATTAATTGTTATATCTCAGAAATGTCAGATGGAATTAGCTTTGATTGTTTTCAGTTTCTCATAATGTTCGTTATCTTAAAACTCTTAGTCTACGTTAACTTGTTCACTACTGTTACACCTATATTATCATTGATAACAGCATAATAACAAATCCTTTTGTGTTCTGAAACACTGCATTGTTCAGTTGAGGTTTCCGAAATCCAGCAAAAATGTCTCTCCTTAAAAAATTGTTGGGAGTTACAATCTTTGCTGTTGCAAGTTCTGCACGTAATAGAATTATCAGGGCAATTTCCGCATCCTTGTTTAGTGAATTTTTCGAAAGCCGATTCCTCGGATTTTGCTGAATTTTTTAAATAAAATTTTATTCTGAGGGAACGACCCACCTTTCAAAATATCCACATTAATATAACACATCTTTTTATCACAAGGTCTTTTTCCATCTTTTTGCTCCCCAAATTCCTCCCTCTCAAAGCAAAATATAGTGTCGTTTGGTTTGTTCCTAGAATTGCATTTCAAATCACGACAATCAACACAAGATACGTTAATTTTGTTCTCGTCACAAGTCCCGCAACCGGCATTAAAATCTGTAAATATAGATGGATTTTAGATGGAATGATTGATAACTCGAACGTACCGGAAAAAAATTTCGTTATATCGAGTTATATTAGTAAGACACTTATTTAGAGTGTCAGAGACTGGTGAAAAGATACGAATTTAAATACATTTTCTATTAATTTGGTTGGCATTTGACGACTTTTTTTGACGACTTTTAAGAACGAAGGATGTTAATAAAGTTATGTTCGAATGTAACCCGCAAATACCTTTGTCAATATAACAGTCAGGATTTGGGCATTCCAACAATGTCTTTCCATCAGAACCAAAACAATAATAAGGAAATCTATTTCCATCATTACAACGATGTTTAGTACATGTTTTACATGTTGGAGAAGTACAATTCCCACAACCCTTATTTACTTTAAAACAAAAATTTCAAATCTTATTTAGTTATTTTACATTCATTTATCTCTGTTCTCTCAGTAAAACAATTTCGAGAATATCCAGTTGAACAGGTTGAACCATTATTAGTCCAACAATGTTTAACCCCGATTGTTCTATGGTTGCAGAAATTTTGTTTGCAATTATTGCAATCAACATCTGTGCATGTTCCACATCCTTGTTCCACTAAAAAATAATTTTATTCTTGAATCCCAGATCTCTCACTTCTCCCATCCGGGTGTCGTTGAAAGAAGCATTCTTCCTCACACTGTTTTAGAAACCTTTTGGATACAACCAACTTATCCTTTTCTTTATTTAGACAAAATAGACTTTCATTAAACAATTTTTTCGTATTGCAGAGGTGTTTATTTTGGCACTTGGCTGCCAGAACATTATCTTCAGTCCAGGATGTTTTATTACCACAGCCTTGTTCAACTAAAATTATTCAGAATTTAGTTGCTTAGTATAGGAGATTTGTGGCTTGGCTCGAGTGATATTAAATACCATTTGTACATTGATAAAAATACGAATTCTGTCGGTCCCACGAACCGACACCCCAGCTACTCATTCATTACAACAATAAATCCTTCTATACCTTTACTATCATTGATGACAGCATAGTAACAAACATTTCCATATTCAGAAATTTTGCATGGAATTGTTTCATTATCATCAGCCCAGCAATAATGACTGTCCTTAAACAACGTTTCATTGTTACAAAGTGTAGAATTGCACGTCTGGCATGGAATAGCTGGAGAAGGGCATTTGCCACAGCCTTGCCGAGTATATTTTTTCAAATCTCCCTCAGACTCTCCTTAAATATATTTGGCTATTTGTCAATCATTGTTGACTACCTTTAGAAATATCGGCCGAGATGAAACACTTTTTCTCGGTACAGGGCCGGCTCCCTTCCTTCTCCTGTCCATTTTCTTCTCTCTCATAACAAAATACAGTCTCATTTAATTTATTTCTGGAATTGCATTTGAAGTTGCTACAATCTACACAAGATACGTTAATCTTATTTCCATCACAAGTCCCACAACCAGCATTAAACTCTAAAATCAATTATTGCTATTGAAACTATGCCCAGGCCGTTACTTTTATCAATATAACAGTTAGGAGATGGACATTCCAACAAGCTGGTACCATCAGACTTTAAGCAATAGTAGGGGAAATTTTTTCCATCATTACAACGATGCCCAGTACATGTTTTGCATGTTGCAGAAGTACAATTCCCACAACCCTTGATTACTTAAAATATCAAAGGAATACATATCTTATTTTAGTTATTTTACATTCATTTGTGTCAGTTCTCTCTGTAAAACAATTTTCAAAATATCCTGTAGAACAGGTCGAATTATTAGTAGTCCAACAATGCTTAACCCCAATCTCTTTAGTATTACAAAATTTCTGTTTACAATTTCTACAATCATTCTCTTTACATTTTCCACATCCTTGTTCCACTAAAAATTAGTTTTCATAAAAAAACTGAGAATTATCAAACATTTTCCATTATTGTTTCGACTTGTAAAACATTCCCCTTCTTTACAGTATTTTATGGAATTTTGCTCAGTGGTATTTTCTTTCGTCCAACAATAAACACTTTCGTTAAACAGTTTTTCTGAGTTACACAATGTATTGTTGCATGTTTGGCAAGGAATGGATGTATTTGAAGAGCAATTGCCACAGCCTTGTCGCGTATATCTTTTTACTGCCTCTTCTTCAGATGCACCTGAAATTTAGCTCTATTTAGGATACACAAAATATACTTTAATAGAAACATCAAAAAAGTTGGGACCAAGAATACACCCCAACTCTAGGCCCGAATACATTATAAAATGTCTTAAGTGAAAGTCAAGACCAAGATCGAATGCCAATTTTTTTAAATATCGGGGCTGTGATCTTAATTCTAGACAAGAATATATAGAGTTTTGTATAAGGAATGAAAGGATATTTTAAAAAAATTTTGCGTTACTTTTAAAAAGTTCTACGGAAATGTAACAAAGTTTCTCTCCACAAGGCCTTCTCCCTTCATTCTCCGTTCCATTTTCTTCTCTTTCATAACAAAATACAGTCTCTTCCAGTTTAATTCTAGAATTGCATTTAAAATCTTTACAATCAACACAGGATACATTAATTTTATTTTCATCACAAGATCCGCAACCAGTTTTAAAATCTTAGTATAAAATTATCGTGAATTATCATAATTAAAGTTCTAATATGATTGCACAAGATCCCATCATAAAAAATAAATCGCCATTTCAAAAAATTTCCATGCTCGAATCGAAACTCTAGAAATTTTTTGAAAACCCATATAGAAACTTATTTTATAAAGAGCTATTAATGGCTCTTTATAAAGGTTTACTCCGAGACGAAATATTAATTTTAAAGGAAAGAGATATGATTGGGATCTCAAAAATCAAGATCCCCTTCTCCAACCCCAAAATCAACCTACATTTATCGATATAACAATCCGATTTTTTACATTCAATCGGACTTATTCCATCGTAATCCAAACAATAATAAGGCAAATGCTTTCCATCATTGCACTCGTGTTTATTGCAAGTAATGCAAGTCTTAGATGGACAATTGCCACAACCCTTGTTGACTTAAAAAAACTTTACTTATTAATTATTTTTATTCCGACATTTACCGATTTTTCTTTCGTTTTTTAAATTTATTTAAAATTTCAACCTTTATTATCTTTTATTCTCTCCATAAAGCAAGTTTCATTAAACTTTGCCCAACACATATTCATAGTATTAGTATAACACTTTTTGTACCCCTTTTCTTCCACATTACAGTAATTTGTCTTGCAATTTGTACAGTATTTGTCATTGCAATTACCACAACCGAGATCTAAAATAGAAAATATCAAAACAAGATGAAAACGTATATCAGTTCTCAATTCCAAATTTCGTCCAAACTTCTATTGACTTTTTTCCGAAAAATAATTTTTTCTAAATTTTGAAACATTGTCTTGGATTACTTAACATATTTACTCTAATAAATACTCTTTGTATTTATGTTTCACTGTGTAAACCCCAAGGTACCGCGAGGTATGTAACGCTGAGTATAATAACAAGCTACCACCGGGTTAACTTCGTTCAAAATGATCGATCAGGGAAGCCTTGGTATAATTTATGTACTTCAACTAGCTAAATCGACCAATAAAAGGAGGTCCTTGATTCACAATCTTGAACGAAGTTATAGCTACTCGCGGTAGCTTGCCCTGCTCCCGTTTCAATCATTCTCCGGATATAGGGTAGATATTTGAGGGAGAATAATAATTTGAGTAAGTACAGTATGACATTTTGTGCGAATTATAGTGCAAATTATAGTGAATAACGAACATAAAGAATCGCTCCGTAGAACATAACATTCTTCATGACAAGGTTTACTGCTCCTTGATATTTCATTCTTTATTTTTCCTTCATTCAATGACAGACATAAAAGGCTGTTTTCAAAAAATTCTTTCGTATTGCACAACGATTTTTCACAAACAGCAAAGGGAATATCCTTAACTTCTTTAGGTGAATCTCCACAGCCTTGTTCAGCTAAAAGATTAATATTTTGAAAAAGAAAAAGTCACAGTAAATAAATGTTTAGCGACAGGATGAGTATCGAACCTATAATCTCATGAAATTATTAGTAGATAACTATTGCCTAAGTCTTAATTTACTAGCTGACAGCTGCTATCTAATTTAATTTTAAAATCTAATTTTAAAATCCGTCGGGATCCTATGCTAATCCCGATCTCGATACCAGCACTCTGTATCGGTATCAGAAAAATCGGTATCGTTTTTCGAATCCTGATACAGCTCCACCTAATTTGAGAGAGGGCAATTACTCGACTAATACTGTAGTCAATTAATACAAGTTTATGTAGATATACCTTTAATATCAAAAGCTATATAACATTTTTTCTTAGCACATTCTCTAGCATTCGTGGATGTTAATTTCCCATTACTTTCATAACATCTGAATGCTTTGTTGAAATTTTCCTTGGTATTACAAGTATTTGTATTGCAGTCAAAACAATCAAAATCCCCTTCACATTTTCCACAACCACCGATAGATGTTTGCTTCTTAAAAAATATAAAAGATTTTCTCAAATTCATTGCATTTACATTTTCTTTATAGTAACATTTAAATCCACCAGGAGGACATATAAAAGTATTTTTTCTATCAGAAGTACTAAAACATGCACTAAATTTTACACTGTAAAAACTTTTAGAATTGCATAAATTTTGGGTGCAAGTCATGCATTGCCCTTCTACTTTAGGGCAATCTCCACAACCCTGTTTTGTATGTTTTTCAAATATTACTTTCGAATCTCCTTCTTCAATTATAAATTTTTGAGAAAATTTTTAAATCCTTAAAACCTTTAATGTTAAATGCTAAGTAACATTTTTTCTTGTCGCATTCACTTCCTCTTGTACTTGTCAATTTTCCATCACTCTCAAAGCATTTGAATGCTTTATCGTAATTATCCTTTGAATTGCATTTGTTTGTGTTGCAGTCATAACATATGAAATCTCCTTTCTGACATTTACCACAATCCGCATTTTGACTTCCTGAGTTTAAAAATCGGAGCGTAACGTATTTAGCGGTATTTCGTATCGTTTACAGCACGGAATACGGTATGGCATAATTCTGATATACGGAACGGAATATAGTACAGAATACGTACCTAATTCCGATTTCTAGTCTAGATTTGGTATTTTCCGTTATCCCTACGGACTCTTCCATACTTGTGGAAAGAGAATTTCCTTCCTTAATTTGACTTTATTTCACTGTCGCATATTCAAGCATAAATTTTGTGTGCAAGTCATACATTGTAAAGCAAAGATTAATTATTTCCAATGTCAGCAAACATGAACTAACGTTTGAATCAAAGTTCTCAGTTTTATTTATAAGTTCAGTTTACTAAATGTACATTTGGACCAATGTTACGAGAATATGGTGATTGAACTATGGATCAAAGATCCTAATTAAGTGAGTGAGTTCACTCCTGAAGACCTACACCCTGAGGACCTACACCCTGAAGACCTACTGACCCTGAAGACATATTCTCCGAAGACCTATTTACCCTGAAGACCTACAACTTTTTGATAAACTCAAATTATATATTTTTTTCTTTACGAGTTTAATAGGTGAGTCTGAGGGATTAAAGAGGATCACTATCCACTTTAACACTCAAAATCCTCGATATCCCCCTTAATCCCTCTTTATCTCCTCTAAAACCTTCAAATCCATCGATATCCCCTTTAATCCCTCCTAGTTCCTCTTTACCTCCTTTAAATCTCGCGATTAGACTTGTAAAGAAATAAAATGTAAAAAATTGTGTTGATCAAAAAGTTGCAGGTCTTCAGGGTAAATTCAGGGTGTAGGTCTTCAGGGTCAGTAGGTCTTCAGGGTGTAGGTCTTCAGGGTGTAGGTCTTCAGGGTGTAGGTCTTCAGGGTGTAGGTCTTCAGGGTGTAGGTCTTATGAGTGTAGTAGGTCTTCAGGGTTGACCCCAAGAGAGTGACTCATGGAATAAACTGTCCATTTTAGAAAGAGAGAAAGTTTGACCATTATGTTCATATTAAGGAAAAATAAAAGGCATGCTGACTGGGGGCAAATTAGTAACCCCGGAGTTGTGGTACACCCGACAATATTATTTCGTAACTTACAACAATAATGTTCAAACTCCATCATTCCCATCAACCATTTATTTTATCATTAGTTGCTTAAGGAAAATAAATGCTATTGCCTTTTTTCTCCGCAAAAATGGAAGAAATTTTTTCCGCAAAAGGTCCGTAGGGATAATGGAAAAGTACCCTAGATTTTTAATCATCTGTTGAATAATTAAGGTGTATCCATAGGAATCTAATGGTACTCTAATAGTAGAATTCAAAGTTTAAGATTTTATATCAAAATGTTTTTATAATAAGTACTCAAAATATACTAGAATTCCCTCCATTTTCAATACCACCCATTTTTATATTATTTGTCGGAATACAGTACGGTATAATTCTGATATTGTTTTACCTTTATCATCAATGTAAATGTAACAAATTCTTTCTTTGCATTCATTTCCAAACTTTAAATTGCCTTGACTTGTATAACAATAAAATGCTTCTTTGTATTTTTCTAATGTATTACAGTTTTTGCCTTTGCAATGATAACATTGTCTATTTGGTTGACATTTGCCACATCCGCCCCAGTATCTAGTAGCTGTAAATATATAAAATTGTCTCGGTTATAAATTTATCTCGTTATAACCAAATGTCATAATGAAATAAATGTACGTATTTTCTAGTGAAAATTTTAAAAAATGGGAATTTTTAACCGTTTTTACATATTATAACAATAAAATTCTTAAATGGAAAATAGAAAATATTATAAACTTTTGCTTCTTCTGCCCCAAATTACGGTCTTTTTTGTAACCTATTTTTCATTTTTGTCACATATTTCGGCATTTTTTGCAACCTATTTAGGTA